AAATACAATTTTGCCATTTATTTACTTCGTTGCGATTGTTATTGTGTGAGACCTATAATGATGATGTTAATTTTATATTTTCATTTCATATAATGTGATGTAAATGGTTGTGGTCAAAATCTTAGGCTGTGTTCTAAATCTATGACTGAATATGGGGCAAAGTTCACGCTCACAATACCCCTATCTTGCAACTACCTGAAAATACTCCTTAAGTCAATGGGAAACCTAAACTTACCACTTAGTTTATTGCCATATCGAAAATACACCCTGGCACACTTTCAAGCATGAAAATACCTCTCAGTTCATTGTCATAATAGAAATATACCTAACAATATTCTTTATCTAATCTAGACTATTTTAATGTTATCGTCTCTCAAATTTACTTAAAAGGCGGTACGTTACAAAGAGCGTTATGTCGTATGGTATAAATAATTCAACAACAACAACACCTGGGTATCAACGAAGCCATCGCTGTAGCTGAGAATGGACAAATGCATATTTCAGATGGACTTAAGTGATTTTAATGTAATTTTTAAATGTACTATATATTTAATACTGTAGATATAAGTGACATACAGATATTGTGTTGTAAATTTTGTATTAATTAAGTTGTAATCGTAATTTCATAACAATGTAGGACGCCATACTTTGCAGACCAACTCACCAGAGATATTGTATTTAATGTTATGTCTGTGACATTGTCAAATTGTTAATAAATGATTATTCTAAAAATAAAAATAAAATCGTATTATTATATGAGGAATAGGCTGAATCGAATGTAGATAATAGATACACATGGATTTTACAAAAATGAAATGCTGAGATCATTTATTTTGACCGCATACAAATGTTGCATGTGTTCGACAGAAGGCATTGATTGTGCAGTGCCGAAATCAGTGGAAAAGGATCGACTCGCATTTGTTTGGTGATGAGCGCGTTGACAAGAAACATTTTTTTAGGTTTTAAAAAATCAAGAATTTAATCATTAACTATGTAGTTAAATGACTGGTGCAAAACCACGATACAGAACTTGATGTACACATTGTGACGGGTTGATGCATAAAAAATAAATACAAGCCATTATAATTATACCTAAACCACGTGACCTATTTAATCAACACATATTAATATTAGTTAATAATAATATACAGGTATGCGAGGCACCAATTTTTGTTGAACATCACGGTCCGAGAGACCGAATCTCTCGAAAACCCACCCCTTGAAACAATTTTTTTAAGAAAAACCTACCCCTTAACACATTTACAGGAAAATCCCACCCCTTATTACATATACAATCGTTAAAAATCGTTGAAAAATGTACCCATCATTGCCATTAACCACAGTCATCCTCACAGCAAAAATACATACCCATTTGGTTCTTTAAAATGTCAAAAAGGGACCCCCTCGCCCATTTGAAACATAATGTGTAGGTCCTTGGGTACATCACATACTCGTTGGTAAGTTTCTACTAGTGACCCCCCCCCCCCTCGGGGGGGGGGGGGGGGGGCACATACCCAGTTGGTAATGTACATGGTGCCCTCCACAGATTTACAATGTTAAAGTCACATATTGTTATATTATATCCGGAGTAATCTAAATATCTTAGACTGCTACTTTAGTTGTATGAGCAAAAATGTACAGCGGCTACATCTTGGACGGTGGCAACTCCGAGGGCGCCCTCTATGCCCTTACTAGTATTTCTCTCCTTGAACTTTAGATTATCGGAATGCATAGCTAATTCATTTAATATAACGCCATCAACTAAAATTGTTCCGTAGTAAAATCACAATTTTATATTACGTACAAATTAGTAGAGGTTGCAAAACTATATTCTCGCTATATTTCACGCACGTGACATGCTAACGATCAAGTGATTGGTGGAAAGTGCGCCCCCTGACATCTCACTTCCAGCACCATGCATTTTTTTTGGATTTGACGAGCGTGTGAAGTTTTTACACCAAATACCATGTTTTCATTAACGGGGAGCCCTTCATTTTTCACCCGGGAGAAGGTAAGTCGTTCGATTTTGTCGTTTAATAGAAAATATGTGTGTTGCATGCTGCAATGATTGAAAATTGGCGATTTGTTCGTGCTGTGTTGTATCATACAATGGGGGAACCCAGCTGATGATTTCTTATCGTGAATCGCCGAACCCTCTCGAGCACTCCCCAGAGCTAGTGCAAACGCAAATGCCTGTTCACCTTGCTGATAAGATTGAGCTAAATGAATCGGAGGGGGTACATATAGCGAGTAAAAACGTCTGTCTTTCTGAGTTGTATTATGCCCAGGTGAACGAGTATTTTCAACCAATCAGCTAGCTATTTGCCTGAAATGGAGGATTTGCTCCAATCGGGCGATTTCTGTCGATCGGGATACTTGATAGGGAGTCAGTCCGAAGATATTGACAATATGATTCTGAAAGTCAACAAATTTTACTCCCATTATGAGTCCGAGTACCAAGACAATATCGGGTAAAAGTGTCCTTATTGGGAGATATTTTTAACCAAATAATGTCTTCTGATTTGTAGAATCAGATAGTTGCCCCTTTGGGGGAAAATCAAAAGTTTGATGTGGCATGCCTGTATGATAACGTCACAAACTAAAATGTCATGGTATTGCATAATCAATGAGATGAGTTGCAATTATTAGTATTTTTTTTATTAATTCGTTCAGTCCAAAAATTCCTGGAATAGACTAGCTGGGGCTACACATTGAATGCTAAATTAGATCATTCCATTAGACTTTTGGTAATCCATGCTCTTTCAGATGCCATAAAGTGATCAGATCATCACATGATATTTTATATCTGCATAGAACTACTCTGTTTTCTCATTAAGTAAGTGTATTGAGAATTGTTTTCAAAATTTACTAAAGATGAAAATTACATTATGATGTATGTGTATTCTTGTTTTGTTCTTAATTAACACATTTATTACTAGCCTAAATAATTTTACTGAGTCAGTCAGTCAGTAAGCAAGATAGCTTGCAATTTTGCATAACACTTTAGTTTTTCACTCAAACTAGACTTGCAGATGGAACCATTCCATTGATGGTCTATAATGTAAATCAATTCATTAACAAACTAGACAAAGGAAATGCCTTTTCAGAATAATATGTGTTTATTTAATATATACATACATGAACAAAATATATGATGATATTGAAGAAAAACGTGGTAATGTTTTTTTGTACCAAGAGCAATTGACAAGCTGAATGTTTAACACTTACTTTTACACTGTCAGTTCAGTATATGCATGGAAGGTACTAACGGAAGGAACCACAACGCCTCTCAGGTGGCCACTTAAGCTTCTTTACAAGCTTATTTCCTTTTGTTTCAACCCAAGTGAATTCTGATGAGGACATTGTCTAGCTCATCTTTGATGTCGCTGATAGTTTGCGATTGTTTACACAAGTAACGAGTTAGCAGAATATGACATAACCTTGCCGATTTTTAAATGTGACCATAAAATGTATGCGCATTAAGAAACTACTCAGTTTGTTTAGGTGTGAAAGGTCAAAATACATATTTCACAGCCGGAAATTCAACAGATGAACGTCTGACTTCACGTATTTCACATGTTTTAATTATTAGCAACTGTAACAAGAACAAGATTTTGAGTGTCTACAACACTCCTAAAAAATATTGTCACAGAGAAAGTGTCTAGGCATGCCCTTCTTTCGATACTATCTTTTCTGGTGGTGTTCGCCAATGCCGGGTGGTTACAAATTTCAATAGTTTTGGGCGTCAAACCCACGCACTGACAATGGTACCATTGAATAATGCAATGGTTATTGTCACAGGCAATTATTGATTAAGTCTCATCACCATTACAAATACAAAAAGATTCCTGCTGATCTGCACTGGCTCGGAAGATGAATTCTGATTGGCTAAAAAAACAAAAGACTTGTGGCGTTGAATGCACGTTCATTCTCAGTAATGTTATGCAAATTAGAAATTCAAACTAGCTAATCATTTACAACCTTCCGAGCCAGTGCAGATTAGCCCAAAGATTCACTATAGTTCATCGGTTCTTCTTCAATCGATGTTATATCTGCCAATTTTTCATTAAAGTTCGCCAAGATCTCCGGAAACAACAGCATTCAAACTAGACGCCATTCCCAACATGCCCTGAATATTACCGAATGCTCAAGATTCGCGTAACCCATTGTACGAAGGTGTTAAGCGCTAACGAGAACCAATGTTTGTGAACAAACATTGACAAACGATCATGAGGTAAAGCTAAAACAATAGCGTCGTGGCTCCTTCCATTAGTACCTTCCATGGTATATGTATCATGGTTTACCGAGAACCAGTTAAGAACAGATCCTATGATTAAAATCAGTCTACATTTTCTGCCAAGTATACTACTGACTAAAATGAGTAAGACGCACATTTTCCTTCAACTTTTATCAACATCACTCACTGTAATTTACAGGTTTTAATATTACTTGAGATATTTACAGTGTAGAAAGAAATATAGTTGAATGTAATGCACTATATATCATGTTGACGACCCCTATGAAATGGTAAATTCAAGACAGCGTGTCAATCAAATGGCGCCATCAAGACTACCAAAGTAAACTCCAAAATGCTTCACTAAGTTGCAAACCATCTTGTTAACTGACTGTCTGAATAATTCTCAGAACTGCTGTAATAGTTCTAGTATGTCAGTCAGTTGTAGATTTCTTAGTACCTTAATGGCTTTCATCTAATGTCATCGGTGGCATGATTCACTTTACTGTACCTTCAGCCATCATAATAAGGTTTTTAATGTATTCAATAAGGCTGAAATAATTAAGGTAATATGACAAATATACAAATTCAATTGCTATAGTAGTTGGTTGATCCATATTCATGAAGACCATAACAAATAGTTTATCAGTATTCACAGAGAAAATAGCTTACACATTTGTGTCTTTTGTAATGTCAAACCCAAAATGTACAATATTGATATTGATGATACGTACAAATTTCTATTTCAATGTACTTCCACCTGTAGAATATACATGTGTAGCAAGTAGGGCATGGAGAACAACTGAACACGGGTTTCAGTTTTTCTGTTGTCATCATGGAAACCATAGAAGAATGGTGGAAGACTCGTATGGCTAAAGACATTCATAATACACTTAGGGCAAGAGAGAGGCAACTTCCAAAATACCATGCACAGTCTCCACAGCTTCATCTACGCAGGTATTTAGTGGATTGGTTAGCAGTCATATCAGACAGTGGCAATTTACACTTATGTAGCACAGCATTGCATCTGGCTGTCAGTCTGTTGGATCGCTTTATGGACAAGTTTGATATTGAAGAGAATCAGCTGCATTTGGTTGCATTGACATGTCTCATGATTGCTGGTGAGTAAATAGCTACTGCAAAACTTTCATTACATTGGCTGCCATTTATGTGATTACCAAGAGCTAAGAGTTTGTCTGTCCACGCATCCTCACTAATTTCTTATTATATGATACTTAGATGTCCTGTGGTCAAAAATCCCTGGTTGACTCATTGTGTGCAATTGTATGTCCATCAGTTAGCTAGTCTGTGCGATGATCAATCATTCATATTTGCCGAAAATTTTGTTTAAAGTTTGTACATACATTAAACACAATTGAATCTTGTTGTTATATTTTGCATTAAAGAATGCAGTTTCAGATCCATATTTTTGACATGATTGGACCGCTCAAAATCAAACTTCACACATACCTTAGATGTTGTGCCATGCCAGGCATATACATCAGTACTTGTGTCATGATTCAATTCAAGATGGCTGAATGGAAGCCATTTTAAAGATAACAATCCATCAAATCTAGTTTTGTTGAGTTCCAATTGCTTGACTCAATCCCAAATCATTGATGCTAACTTTTTTAACACATTCAATGTCAACCTGGTTGACAATATATTGAGTATAAATGGCTACTTATTACCCTAGTAACCATAACTGTGCCCATAGCAACCTATTCAAACATGGTACATGCGCTTTTGGAATGTAAATCTGATTTTATCAAATTATATGGGCTTGTCCATAGCAACCACATATAGAATTGGTGTTGTACTATTTTGGCAGTGTACTAATTAAGCCTCAAAAAATGGTTTCAGCCCCTAGCAACCATGCCCAAACACACTTGGTTTATACATATATGGGTGAATAGCAATAACAGCTGATGAATACATGTTTTAAATTCTAGCCAAATTTGAAGAGAGAGACATCAAAATACCAGAGATAAGCAGACTGAATAAATATGTGGACAATTCCTACAAATGGCAAGATTTTCTCCAGATGGAACTCCTTTTGTTGAATTTCTTTTCCTGGAATGTTTGTCAGCCGACAGCTTCACATTACATTGAATATTATATCCAGGAATGCATCAGTGAGAATGATATTCATGCCGGACAGCCGCTCCGATGTCCTTGGAAAGCCAAAATTTACATGGAAAAATATGCTCATTATTTCTTGGAAATCTCTTTGCAAGGTTTGTACTTTGTGGTTATTGGAGCGGTGAAATGTTCCACAATGTGAATATAGAAATTATGATTGTGACTAACTGAGCAAGGAAAATGTCAAGTAATTTATTTGTAGAACTCCTGTGACTGATTCATGTTTTCAAGGTTTTAAAGCCTGCTTATTGTTTTTAAGGAATTTAGCAATTAATAACCTGACAATTAATATTCGTTGGATCATTATTATGTGAAATTACAGGAGTGAAAGTTAAATGACGTAAAAAAATCAATGAAGGATAACAAATATAGGATAATAAACATTATTAATGCTCAAAACAAAATGAAGTCAATATGATTGCTGAATACATTGCTGCTACAGGCCAGAATTCCAAATGACATCAAAGTTCACTAAAGTATTATAACAACAAACCTTTACTCAACCATGTCCTAATATTTTATTCATAAGCATACCCAAAAAATCTGCGAAAAAAGTTGTTGTAGAATAGTCTTAAAGCATTTAGTGTTGAAAAAAGCATCACAATTGAGAGAAAAAACATTATAGCAGAAAGTTTTGAATATTAAGTTTTGTTTGAACATTTTTTCAAAGTGATGCAGAACAAATGCGTTTGGTTTTCAATGTAATGTCATTTTTCATGTCACTGGTAAATAGATCGGTAGATAGGTAAATTGATTAATAAATTCTCCTGACTGACAGGAATATGGTTCAGTATGAGACAACTCAAGAAAGTAAATGCACTTAGTTTTATTTACATTATAAAGGATATACTGTTTATCTGCAAACTGATAACAGACACATGGAAGCTTTCTCAACCTTTGATAGTGTAGTTTGACTTGTTAATTTGGATGGTAACAGATAAGATAGGAAAGATAATTTCATTGTCTGTTCAGATAATTCATATACCGTAATAATCCGGGTATAAGCCCAGGTCTTGAACATGGAAAATTGCTAAAAAGAAGTGGTGGGCGTTTGCCAGGAGATCCCCGGCAAAAAAACACGAAAATTCGCGAAAATTGACAACACGCAGATCGAACTGCGGCAGGGAATAGAACGGCAAATCACAGTCCCTCTATCACTGCGGGCAAATGAAAACATGCAACGGAAATAAATGAACAATATGCAACATTAGAAGTAAACAAAAATAATTTATTGCTTATAATGTGGCAAATAAACCATAAAAAAAACGATGAATTAAAATGTCAGGGGTTAAACTGCGTAAAATGATTTCCGGTCTTGACAAATTACGAATCAACCGGCATACAAGATCAATAATAATTTACAAATTTACACAGTGAAAATTCATAGCTGTTTGAAAAAACTTCTCAGATCTTTATTTGTACGTTCATTGCCATCTTCGTCAAACTCAAAACCCTCAAATGTCCAAGTCGGCGTCACTGTAGCCGTTGAACAAAATCCCTACAACTTATTCCTGAAGTTCGTCGATATCGTCCCACACAATTTGGACTTAGCAGTCTGTCAGCTTGGCACGTTTAATTCACGTCTAATCAGAATAAAGAGACAAGAAAAATTGGGCCGCGGCAAACGACTTGCAGGATGTTTTTGTTTACAGTCTAGCAATCATCTTTGACCTTTATGCATCTGCTTTACCGATTGGCTAAGAATGACATCACTACTAGTATTTCATCATGAAGGTCAAATCGTGACATTGCTTTTTTATCAGACTCGAGTCAACACTTATTAATCACGGTGAAAGTTATCACTCAGCAAGTTCCGGCGGTTGGAATGTTTCACTATATGGATATCGCGGCGAACTTGAAATAGGAAGTTTTTTTTTTATTCAACGACAGAAGAATAGTTTTCATGACAGAAATGCAATAGCGGTGATAAAAGATGGTAAAAAAGTTGGCAGTCTTCGGCGTGACATTGCAAAATTGTTGGCCCCAGTTATGGATTCGCAAGCTGCTACAAAATATTTATAAAGCCAAAATAACGTGACTTCAACCAATTCTCCCAGGTACGGGTTGCTACAATATATTTTCATTGTCGACGACGCTAAAGCCAAACGAGTGCGTCACATGCTTAGCGGCTTTCCTTATACAATTTGCTTGAATCGTTTCTAAGGAAGCACACACTAAACGGCCGGCCACGAGTCGACATATTTCAATAAGAGAACTACCGTTTCTGCTTTAATATTTATTTTTATAGACTTGCTGACTGTTATGACTCTTACCCGGATAAGTACGGTAAATATTGAATGGCGTATTAAAGCGAACCTAAATGCGGCCTTAATTTATAGTTGTGTATATTCTAAACTGTATTCGAAATAATATTGCAGTAGTTTAATTTTGTTTTAATTATAACTGTAGCTTGGATAGGCATTTGAAGTGCATGCAATTAAACACCATGAAGGCCATTCATGGAGGGGAATAAATAACGAACGAACATATTTAACATCCGGGTACTTTTCAAAGCTATGACGTTTTAGTATCTGATCGCATTCGTATACGCCATTGCACATAGCCGTTCATGCTGCCAAGCATTGTGTACTACTAGTATAAACTCAACTTTTATATGCACAATGTGCTTTTTAAAACTTGGGTTGTTTATGCGTTTGAACCACAGTATTCTGAGAGTGATGAAAGCCCAATTGCGTTAAAGTACCATACTTCCCCTCGATCGTAAGTCCCTCTCGAGTATGAAGCCCATTCCTATATTTTTACTTGGTATTTATCGAGTTGAGAGCATTCACAATTATAATATGCGTGTAAAAGGTGTGTTTCATTTCATAATAATCGTGATTGGCATGGTAGTTTGGTTCATGCTTTTAGTTTTATGAGAAAACTCGCATTAATTTCAGAGTGCATGGCGAACGTACACAACGTGGTTCGCATGCTTTCTATTCTGTCATTTACTAAGGATGAACCTCGATGTTGCAATTCTGGAGTACCGGTAATCCCTATTTCTTTGAGTAGTAGCTTTCGAAAAGCCAAAAATGTGATCGTTAAGTCGTGTACCTGGTTATTGGGCATGGTTTACTTTGAGACTATCATGAAAGGCCTAGGGTTTGAACGATGTGACATGTTGGCGACCGAGAAAGGTGTTTAAATTCTTCCTCCACACTCAGTTTACCCACGGTCACTATTAACTGTCATTTATATTTCGGAAATTGCGAATCGCCAGTTTTTAGGGAAAAAATCATCGTTTCTTCGTTGCAATCAGTGCTACAGATCGCATTTTAACATTGCGGTAATTCACTTCCGCATTGCGTTAAAAAATCATCGTCAATAATCGAAAAATTTCATCATTACGACACATCATTTTGATTGGTTAATGAAAGACATGACCTGTT